TGTCGTATATACCTGACAGTAGTTCTAGAATATTTTTTTTAAAGTCACCTTTCCTATACCTTACATATTTACATATTTCTGCAGTGTCGTGTACTCATGACTCATCTCTTGACAATCCCGTCGACACTCCCTCTGTTTTCTTTTCTTTCTCTTTTTTTTTCCTACAAGGACTGTGCATGCAGAAAGTAGCGAGCTTCTGTTTAACCTGAAACACCCACAATGACTCAACGGATCGAGGGCAGGATAAGCATCCTACAAGAGAGATAAAGCACAGAACATCAAGGCAGAATTTCACAATAAAACGCGAACATGGTTCAAATCAAACCAGATAAACTGAATCTCCCACAAAGAACTGGGAACTTTCTGCGATTTCTATGTGAGTGAATGTACTTTTGGTTTTTGAAAAGACTTCCTGAGCCCGATTGTCCCGGGCCTGAATGTGCAAAAAGGGACAGAACGATCTGATTTCAAAGGTACAACCAGTACCACCAGCCTTTCCAGTTAGCTCTGTGCACAAACTCCTCTGACTCACTGCTGCTTGCAATAACGAGCCGCTCACACCTTGTAATTCGACAGCGACAATTATTTTTCTTGCCATTCTTGAGCTTTGTTTTGTCTTTCACCGCACTAAGAGGCGTTTCAGCGGTAGATAAGAGTGAGGAACGCTGCACTGTGACATGCTGGAGGAGAGCATTTAAAAGCAGAACTTCACAAAGCCTCAGGCCGCTGATGGGAACATCGATACGGGTCGTAAGAAATCTGTGATGATCACATCAGGATTCTGGCTTCTGGTGATGACACAGTGCCTCAGTTATGTGGACACAGTACATCTTTGTCTTCATCCAAGAGAAATGTGCCATTAAAAGCATTGTTTCCCGGCTGAGTTTCAATCACTGAGAATGTCAACATCTGCAGCTGCTGACTATTCCCACTGATGAGAAGATAATTCGACGGGGTTTTCTTATCAGAATCGGAACTTTTGACATCATTTGAGTGATAAGGAGCAGATTGCTGGTGTTGCAGATCAGCATCACTGCAGCTGGTAGTGATTCAGCAGCATCGTGCTCCAGGACACGTCAGGAGGACAGTTGTTTGCTGCCATGGTGGCCGGATGTTGGAGTTTCCTGTTGAAGGACACGAAGCGAGACGTTCACTGTATTTCCCTGCAAGCCAAAAAGGGAATCGCTGAGTTGATTTAATCTGAAAAGACTCAGAGAGCAAAAAAAAAGTGACAGTTGTGACATCTTGTTCACTGCGTTTTCCTTCTATTTCAGGCTGACAGCTGCTGACCAGAGTTGTTTTACAATCTACAGATTAATGTTGGTTCACAACATAATAGAAAGACTACAGACAATCCACTTTCTTCTTCTTCTTCTTCTGCTCCCACACAGAACACAGGGCTCGTCAAACGGTGTTGTCTTAATACCGCCGTGCATGAAATATTTCCCCTTAAGGATAATATAATTGTTTAACGGGAACGGGGAAAATGCTGTGAATTTTCAACCGCACGCAGTGTTTTAAAATGGGCTGACTGGGCTCATTACTGCCCGATGAATGCCTGACTTTCACTCGATGGCTCCATTTCCACTGTGGCTTCAGAAAAAGCACCTGGGACTCCCCACATCGCGGCACATGAGGGAGCAACCGCACGCCCACTCAGGGCTGGAGGCTCCGCTCCGTGGGGCCAAACACAACAATAACCCGCGGGCTGGTCAGCACTCGTACGCTGCTCTGCTTTCCATGAACTGGCAGTGCTGAATCCAAGGTTTTCCATGGCCAGGGCCAATAAAACCCTTTGCTCTTTGTGAATTCACAGAGAATGCTTTAGATTTGCTCAGTGGACACTGAGACCACAGAGGTGTAAGAATAGACGTGTGGAGCCAGTTGCACAGCTAAAACCTATTAAAGACACATGACATGGACTTTATTTTACAAAACGTACAGTATATTAGATGGATTTTACGCTTTTAAAGCTTCCACTGGTTTTGCTTTAAGGCATGACTTTAACACAACAGATATAGAAACAAATTATATCCTATTATTCTGTGATGCTTTTCTCTATCTCTGCTCATTTCTTGTCAGGTTCAGTCTTCCCCAGTCGTGTATGGCTGAGTGATTTCCTGCAAGACATTCAGGAATTAATAAAGACTAGTAACTCAAGACCCAAAGGAAAGAATTCTCCCTCCCTCTGCTGGACGTGTGCTGTCAATGCTACGACTTCAGGCAGCCGACTGGTTCAGTAGAATACGCTGTTGCCATGATTACTATTATACACATCAGAGTAGCTGCTTGTGAAAGTGAAAATAATTATCATTGTGCCCTTTATATGAAGTTAAACAAACTTCCAGTAGAAGCTGAGGTCACAAGTTGGCCTTTGAGGACAGGTTTTGCCCAGAAGGCAAACGTGAAAAAGGAGTTGCACCTAAAGTAGGTCACAAAAGTCTCACAGTCTGAGTTTTCACAGGAATGTTACAGACACACAATAGCTTTTAGTGCAGTGAGGTGCAATGAAAACTCTTTTTTTGTCATCATAAAAAGGGAAAAGCAGTGAAGTTACGATTCTCATCACTAAATTGTGTTTAGCTTCATAATCTGTTCCTCCCTTATTATTTATGATTTATGACTTTTTTCTATTGTTTTTAAAAAGTGTGCCTTTTTCATATTGTCTAATTGTTATTGCACAGCCTGGAGGAACAGTCCCTCTGCACGACTGCACATACTGTATGAGCATGTGACGAATAAAAACTTTTGAATCTTGAATATGCAAAAATCTGCCAAGTGTCGACCCGAATCAGCAGAACGGATCTCAGTGGAAAATGAGAAACGACACCTGAACCACAAATGTACTCATGTCTGACTTTTGGTTACAAGTCTGAGTATCGGTAGAGGCAATGTGAAGAACTGCACAGAAACATTTGTGGTTTCTGTGGATTAAAATAAGAAAGTACTGAATATAAAACTGCAAAACTCGTACATCTGTGAACTTTGGAGTGACCGCTAACAAACAAAGCACAGCTTCTGCATCGGGATTAAGAACTTTCCACTGACCCACATTATGTGGAAAATCCCAGGATAATTCAGTGTTCTGGTCACTTATGAAGAAAAAAGTTTCAAGAGTAAATAAGTGGTGTGTCTGAGAGAAAAAGGCAGCGATTAGAGGCATCAGTGCTGGAAGGATAAAGTCGTCTGATATGTCAAGTTTCTCCTGCATGATGAGGTTACATAGTGGACCACCAAGAAGAAAGCTGTGGCGGGCTGGGATGTTCTAAACTGTCAAGAGATGTGACCTTTAAGTTTAAGTTAAAGGGTTTGACAAAAATACTCATATTTAAAAAAAAAAAAAACGATCTTGTGCCAAACACTGCCTGCTTACTTTTATTTGGAGCTTCATCACAGCCACACTTTAACCATTTAAAAAGCTAAAAACAAACACAAAGGAAAAAGCGAATTTTATATAAATATAATTCAGCCCTGCTTTAATTTGACAATGTTCAGCTAAACCGAGATCTTCCTAAACAGAAAAAACAAAACAAACTTTTTCAGGCTTTTGGGCATCGTTCATATAAAATCACACCTATTTCAGTTGTTAGTATTTTGACTGTATTTAAAATAGTCTGTGGCTGTTTGGCAAAAACAAATAAAAGAAAATGAATAAAGCAAAAATTAAATACCAGATCCACTGTGCTGCGTTCAGGGTACCTCGGGATTAGGCCCCAAATTACGTCATTTACGACCATTGACCTTTGGATGTAAAAGATCATAAAAACAAACAAACAAACAAACAAATATGGCTGCTTCAACAAACGTGCAACAAACGTTTGTCAGCTGACATGTAGCTCACTTAACTGATGAAACAGACGAGCAAAAAAAAAAAAGACAGAAGAGATGTTTAAGACGTTCAAACATGAAGCTCATTAAAAGTAGAGAAGTGCTTACAGTTTGCTGTGTAGGCTGCCATTTTGAGAAATGATGTACATAAAAAAACAAACACAGCAGTGGAGTTAAAACAACATACCGAAGTTACAGAGAACCGACTTCTGTTGACGTTTTCTTTGATTTCTTTTGCCCAGTCTGACTTTAAATTCCGAGTTCCCGGTTGCCTTGAATGCACCATCGTAGTTTAGGTTGTATTTCCGGAGTATCAGAGCAAAGCTGCGCACAAACACAAGATAGAAATCCTCCCTTTCTTCAGCAACATTACTGTGCCTGAACATCCGAGCTCCTGAATGTTTTATGAGTTTGCTTGTTTGTTCTTTACAAAAATAGGCATTATATTTTTTTTAATGAAAGGATCTATTTATCTGAATATTTTTTTATGGTGTATAAAAGTCTGAGCTTGGCACCAAACTCACAATATTTGACTGCCATGTCTAGTGTATGGAGATTTGTCGGAATCACAGCTAACAGATTTGCTCTAATTTTGTATATTTTTAGTATATCGTGAGTTGAGATGGTTAACTTTTCTCCCTCTTCTCCTAGTAGACTGCACATAGGGTCTCACCTCATTCAGTGCAACATCAGTGCATTAAAACTTGCACATTATGAATATTTTGTTCATTTAAAAGACTCTTTACAATATAGATTTTTTCAACATTTGTGCCAATATCAGTATTTTAATAACTGTATTACCTACTCACGGAAGAATCTGTGCAGTATCAGTGTTTTTCTACATTTAGAGTACCCGCATAATACTGATTGAAATTAGAATTAGAATTAGAATTAGAATTAGAATAAAACTTTATTAATCCCTTCGGTACAAGACCTCAGGGAAATTGCTAAATGAAATGTCTACATATGGAAAGAATCTAAGCAAAATCAACAGTACTTATGTCTATTGATCTATCCACTCACTGTATTTGTTTATTTATATCTGTAAAGCACCAAACAACCTCTGATACTTCCGTAAACTCGACCGTTTTCCTCTCTGCTTGTCGTGACCAAACCGGAAGTGAGCGATGGTTTCCTCTCTCGGTGCGCCGCGCTGATCTTCGGGCGGTGTCAGGCCGGCGACACACCGCCGGCTGTTGGAGGACGGCAGGTATCCCGTTAAACCGACCCGCAGCATCGATTCCCCGCGACCCAATGTCATCTGATAACGGGATAAATTAACGCGGGGGACATGGGCTTCGACACAAACCGCCACGCATGACTGTTTTCCGGTGTGTTCGCCGCCGCTTCCTGTGCTTTCCTGACCTCTCCATTGTTTTCCCCGAAGATAATTGTAAGCTAGCTTAAGCTGCAAAACATGTCAAACTAACTGACGTCGGTAGTTCTTCTGTTTGTGGGGTTAATTAAAAACAAAATACAGAGATATCCAGCTAACTTTACACTGAAATTACACAATGCAGCTCACACCCTTATTATTTATTTATTTAGCTGTGATACCGGCCTTAGTGTTACAGCATATAGCAAGCTAATGTCGGTTTATGCTAAAAAGTTAGCAGCAGCTCTCTAGAGTTTTTTTTCTGTTGTCATTAAATACAGTAAAGAAAGTAATAAGGCAGCTTTTTTTCTTTTTTTTGCAAGTAGTTCCTGCCTGGTGGTGTTAAAATGTCACTAGAGGGCAGACTGGTACACGTATAAAGACAACAGGACACCACTGTCTGAGTACTTTATCTAAAGATCAGCATAAGCCACTATTTACAACAGTGTCTGGGTTGCCAGGTTGGGAAAAATCCACTCAAGTCATTAAATTAATAATTAAACTAATTATTGTTTACTCTGTCAGACAGTTGGGTGGCAGCTCGAAGAGAACAGCACAGCATTTTATTCATCTAACAAAGCCTTGTTAGGAAAAAAATATCTGAATATCTGACTTGTCTGTTTAATTATAGATCAATTTCTCATCAAACTAGGGCCCCGTGAGTTTATAGTCTTGGAGACATTAAAACTGAGAAGCTTTTGAATATTATGCACCCAAGTACTGGAACAAAACCTGTTGAGATTAGATGATCTAATCCCATTTGACAGGTTTACGGCCCTGGTGTCCCACATGGAGCAGTACGAGTGTCCCTGTTTTTTTAATTTTAACTTTTACACTTTCTCTAACGTATGACTGCTTATTCTGTATGTGTAGAGGGTTTTATTGTGATTGTCTGTGGCGTGTATTTTATATGAGAGAGTCTGTGTAAATATCTGTTCTTTGTATTTTATTCTGTAGTTTAGCTGAAAAATGTGTTTTTTGCTCGTGCTTACAGGGCAGCCATAAAATAGAGACTCTCACTGGGGCTTTTCTTGTTTAAATAAAGGCTAAAAAAATACTTTGATTAGTTTTAAATAGCAATTAACAATAAAATACTGGAAAACGTGATAGAGTTAAGATATTTAGTTTTTCTGCAATATGATGAAATACAGGACTTTTTTTTTAAAACCAAGTGACTTGGATAACTCTAATTGGAATTAATTAATCCTTCTGTAATGAATGAGGTGATTTTGTAGGAGAGTGCATCTTCTTGGCTCGTTTTTCTGTGCACATGTCTACAAAGTCTGTGTTTAGTGATTAAAGTTTTCTTGTTTTTAACTGTGTATCCAAGAACTTTAACTTGATTGATTGATGTCTCCTATAGATAAGTCATGACAAGTTCTCTTTTTGTCTCAAGCAGCAACAACAGTTTTAGCACAATGTGTTTGCGGTGATGTGTGAGCAAGTTATCTTTAGTTGCATATGTTAAATAAATAAGAAACAACTCTCACTGTAAAATAACAATAAGGTATTAATAAATGGAGTTTGGTCCAGATACTCTCTATTTGAACAGATCACACACCAGACAGTTGGTTCGAGTTGTTACCTGATGATCTAAATACCTGAAAAGCTGTAGTGGGATGAAGACAACCTGCAGACCCTGGATTTCTAATTATTTAATTGCTAATGACAGATCTGTGAAGCATTACTAAACTATGTCCTACATATAAATCGAACCAGTTTGAAAACAGCCTTACAAAGTGCTTCTGAAAGCTGCAGCTGCAGTTTGCAATCTGCTTGAGATGAGTTAGTATTTTACACTTTGCTGTTGTGTGTCTGACAACCAGTTTAACATTTTCCTGCTACTTACACTTTGTCCTCGTTTTGTAAATGTTTGCAGGGAAGACGGACGGACTGACTGAGCTGCAACATGTAAGAGCCGCTCTAAAAAACATTTTCAAGAACAAAAACAAAAGAATAATCCTAATTATAGTATATGTGTTTATTGCCTTTGCAGGTCTGGAATAAGATCCCACATGTCACTGCCGGTGACGGTGGGCGTCCTGTTGGTGGGCCTCCCGTACTCCATCTCCCTGGCGACCCAGTGGCTCTACGGGTGGCCCAACAAGCCTGGATATAAGAAGTACATCGAAGCGCTGAAACCGAGGTACCGTTAGGATTTGTTCTGTTGTCCCGCATAATGTAGTTTGGTTCTTACGCATTAAAAAGAGTGTTTTTTAATCCTCTTTTCTCCTTGTTCTCTGAATCAGACGGATATACTGTTTGACCAGAGCTGTGCTGGAAACTCTCAAATACCTGCAGTACGGGAAGCTGTACTTCCAGTGGAAGTCCTGGTACAAGAACGAGGAGAACCGTAAGCACTATGAAAAGGTGTGAAAATCTGCAGAGTCTGGTGTTGTTATTTTTTAGTAAATAAAGTCGCCCCCTTAACTCAACGATGTGTAAACGATCACACTCTTCTCACCTGAAAGGGCATCACGTTTGGCCGCAGAGGCAACAAGCTGGACTTGTACCACCCTCCACATACGGGCAAGTCTGAAGGCGTGGCGGCGCCGCTGGTGGTTTTCATCTACGGAGGCGCGTGGGGCTCCGGAGAAAGATCGATTTACTGTTTACTGGCGAGGCGGATGGCTGAAGAGCTGAACGCAACCGTAGTGTGTCCAGATTACTGCACATACCCAAAGGTAAGGATGCTGGAGGGGACACAGTCATCCTAGTGTGCTTAAATCTGATTTATAGAACATGTAGAGAACTGTGCAGTAATTCATACTCATAACCTTCAGGATCATTTGTTTGTTAATGTTTCACTGGTTTCTGGTTTCATGTGATCGCCAGACAAACGTTTTAGGGATGATCCAAGATGTTGCTGACTGCTTGGTTTGGACCCAAGAGAACGGACACAAGTTTAACTTTGACAAAGTAAGTAAATTAAAACCCTGTGATGACATCAGCTAGAAAGACTCTTCATTATACATCCTCAGATGATGAAAACTGCCCCGATGTCATAGAATATTTCTGGCTCTTAAAGCAGTTTTATGGGTCTTTCAATCCCACAGCTACCCACCTAATAAATAAACTCTCTATTTCACTTTGAGTCCCACTATTCTGAACTAATACTGACGTTTTTGTTGGAGAAAACTGACGCTTTGATTCTTATTTCTTGTTGCGGGACCAGTTTTGCATCACTATGTATGTAATGTATGTTGGTTTCTTTGTCTTTTTCAGGACAACGTTGTGCTAATCGGCCACTCAGCAGGAGCACATCTGTGTGCACTGACCACATTTTTTCTCATTGATGCACGAGAGGAGCTTTTCATCGAGTCCAAGAAGCACCGGGACATCACGCTGTCGATAAGAGGAATTATCGGTGAGGATTTGATGCCGAGTCTCACATCCTGATGAATACTCAGCTGTCAGGAGTTGAGTTTATTTTGGTGGCTTTCATGCTCACAGCTAGCAGCAGAATATACGCAGAAGTTACATTAATGAAGACAAAAAACACATTTATCTTCATTTTACTTTATAAGAATATAAAATAAAACTGCTCAAATGTCTCCATGGACCCACACAGTCATGCTTAGACATGTACAAAAACAGCAGCGTACTGTGAATCCGGTGGGTGTAGCCTCTGGTGTCGACCCTGACGACTCTTTTTTTTGCAACCTCACCAGCAAAGCCACCCGCCATTTGTTGCCCCCCACCAAAAGGGCACAAACAGCTGCAACAAAGCCGTATAGATGCTGACTAGGTCTGGACAGAACAGTTAGAAGGACTTTACCCAGTTCCTGTTTAGTCTGAGTGTCACTACGGAGGTCAAACTCCAGATTAAATCCAGGGAACTGGTTGGTGAAGGGCTTCCTTACCAGTTTGATTCCAGTCTGAGTCAGTTCTACTAATCTGTCTCCATCCAGTAAGATGTCGTTTGATGCAAACCTTTCATCAGTGTCACTATAAATACTTGTTAAGTGACAGTCTTATACCATCAGCATACTAAATGTCCAACCAGTCGTCAAAAACAGATATATGAAGGGGAAGGAGGTATGGTGAGACCACACCTCCTCAGGGGACCCCAGATGTAACTAACTGATGACTATAAGCGCCATTTGCCAACCCCCCCGTTGTCTTCGTCCAGTCATGTAGCTGTGTATCCAGACTAACAGTCGTGGATGTTGTTGGTCAGATGTTGCAGTAACTGGGTTTGGTCCACCAGTCAGCCAGCAGTCCTCTCTGTCGTCGGTTGTTTGTAGACACAAACCAGGAATGTGAGGCCTCAACAAGGGCTGGTATGAAGGAGGTTAGACTTCAGGAGGTCGGCATGCTGCCCCTTACATTTGTTTTCTGCATCAGCTCATTCATGGCAAATCTTTATTTTCCCCAAGTGAGATATTATTGAATCTGACCCCAGTGAATAAAAAAGAGCAGGTTCAACGTTTGAGTACGGGGAACACATCTGGGCTCTCCAATGCAGCTGGAACTGTTTCCTACATGTCAGGTCCTCTGGTCCTTTGGTAATAATGATAATATGCCATCAGGCCAAAAAAAACAAAAAGACTTTTTTAACACACAAGCATTTTCAAAACTCAAATTCTTTAAATTTAGGACGACACTTTGACCTCCTGTCTCCATCCTTTAGTCCTTCCTAACGATTTGTTGTTCCCTGAACAGGTCTGAGCGGCGTTTACGACATCATGGACCATTACGAGCACGAGCAGAGGCGAGCAGTCGAGTACGTCTCCACGATGCACAAAGCCATGAACGGAGTGGAAAACTTCCCGTACTACTCACCGACACACTTACTGAAGAAGCTCAGCCAGGACAAACTCAACAAGTGAGAAAGAAACACGCTGCCTTTAGCTCATTCATGAAGCATCGGTTAGAAATACAAATACGATCTCACCACTTTTTACTGACTGTGTTTTCTGTTCCTGCCAGAGTGCCTCAGTTCGCTTTGCTCCACGGGACCAGTGACATTATCGTTCCTGTCGAATCTTCCACTAAGTTCTCCGAGCTGCTCACCTCGCTGTCCGTGAAGGCGTCGCTCTACCTGCTGCCCAGAGTCGACCACACCGAGATGGTGACCGACCTCATGGCGTCGGACAGGCGCTTCTACCACGTCATCTACAGCTGCATCAAACAGGAGTTCAGGAAACTTCTGGGCACCTGCTGAGCCCCAGAAACCAGCTAAACTTCCACACATGGCTAGTATTTACTGACGGTGCCATACTGTGACTGAACTTTGTTTACCGTTTCTCTTCTAATACGTTGAAATGAATCGTATTTAACCTTGAACTGAACTTGATTCCTTTAAGTTGTGATTCCATGATGACGATGACGTGATGTTTTTGTGTGATTGTAAGATTTACAGGTGGATTGTTTTTTTTAATTTTTTTTATTTAACAGCTGAAAAGACTTTTGGTTTGAAATGTGAATAACATTATAATAATGTTTTGGATGGAACGTTTTCCAAATAGCACTGATGAAGGAAGTAAATGTGAAGTGAAATGTGTCGTGAAGGAAAAAAAATACTCCACAGTATTAAAATGAGAGTCCAGTTACCAAATCTGTACCTTTGATTTCAGGTAAGCTTTGTTTTATGAAACATGAAATGAATTTTTGTCTTGATTTATTATAACCACTCATTTTGAAAAAAAAACAAAAAAGTATTTACCCCAAATACTGGCGTATGAATTAAACTTACTGAAAGGAAATCGTTGAGCCTCTGTTTGTGCCTTCAGTCTCCGTTAAGCGCCGTCACATCTTTTAGACACAAACACGTCACACACAGCAGTAATCAGGTCGTGATATTAAAACGATATACGGAAAAGCCAGAGTGCACCTTCATAATAAACAGCTATGCAAAGCATGTAAATATATATTGTTAGAGGATTTTAAGTTAAAACATAATTCATACATTAAGTGCTAATCGTCCATTTTACAAGGATTTTTTTTTTTTTTTTTAAGATTCAGAAACTGTAGCTGGAATTGAAATAGCCAGAACTTTACTTAGTGTTTAATAGTTTATCCACAGTTTATACTGTGTTTGTTTTTTTGGTGGACATTCACACAATATAATCTGTTTAAATTTCTATCTATTGGCAGGCTCCCACCAGCCTTGGTTGATATTTGTCATATAGTTCTAGTTTGGTAATAATCTAGAAGATCATTAAGCCCATAAAGCAGCAAAACAAAGACTTAATGCTCTATTTTGTGGGCACATCCCTAATAAAGAGAACACAAACCAGATTAAGAGGCGACACTACAGTTGAATGTCACCATAAAATCTCACCACTTGATTACTTACAACAAGGTAATCCTTTTTTTGTGTTAGTTTTATTTAAATATGTAAATGAAGCATTATAGATTTAAAAAAAAAAAAAAAGCCCAAATTGAAAAAACTTCCAGAACCAAAATCAGAACATTTCATCAAGCCAGCTTCAAAGTTTTCACAGAGGACGTAGAAAATACTGTCAACGGCCAAAAAATAAAATAAAATCAACTTTTGCCATATAATGTTCTAGAAACACCACACTGTTTGCACACAACATTTACAACTTTTTCGATTTATTTTTTTCATGTGCTGATACCACGATACTGTTCATACTTTATAATTCCATACTTCACATATATAACTTATTATTTCTTATATATTTTGCATGCTGGCGTCAAAGGTATTAGACATTTTACACTACACTTTCACTGCTTCTTTTGCACTCCTGATTAGATGCAAAACTAAATGTAGTTTTCTTTGTGCTCAGCAATGACAAGAAAACAGAATCTGATCTAAAATATGAACAAACTTCTCTGTAAAAAAGACAGAAAGAAAGAGAAAGAAAAGCATTTGAGAGTGGTATAACTGAAATCAGTTGCAAACAGACAAAGTGCAGCAAAAATAAACACTTGAAGAGTTCATTTGCAAAAACAGAGAACTCCATCTTCACAAACCTCCAGAAAACCCATTTCTCCATCCTCTACCTGAGACAATATCAGTTAAACTTAAGTTATCTCTGCTGTTGTCATTTCTACTGAATCAAATCCACTCAGCTTCAGTTTGTTTTATATTATCTCAAGCAACAACAAAAAAGTTTTGTGAAAATCTACAAAAATGGAGTTATCTGATTGTGTTTGTGTGTTTTAGATGTTTTCTCATGCTTTGGAGGTAAAATCTCAAGTTTTCATTCAGCTTGGTGTGTTTGGTTGAACAAACTTGAGCAGCACTTCCTCCTCTTCTTCCTCCTCTTCCTCCTACTCCTCCTCTTCATCATCACCTCCTTCTTCTTCTTCCAGCTTTTATTTTGAAATGCGGGGGGCTTCGCACGCGCGCTCCCGCTCACACGCACGAGGCGGAGTTAGTGGCGTCTCCGCGCTGCTCCGGAGCTCCGCGGTCACTCTCTGCGCGTTTCCCACCGACGAGCTGCGGCTCTGTTTGTTTTTTCTTTTCTTTTAACGCGTTACCGACCCGTGAAGAGGCGGAAGCCGAGCGGGTGAACATGTAACCGGACAGCCGGCCGCGCTTCCACCGACAAACACGAGAAAGATGGACTCTGCTGCGAGAAGCCAGAAGTTGCTGCTCGGAGCGGTGCTGTGGTGCTCGGTCCTGGTCCAGGCGGCGTCCGGGGGTAAGAAACGCAACTTTTTCTTTTCTTCCAGCCTGCCAATGAAAACAAACTTTTACCTGCTGCTGGTGCTGTTCAAACCTCCTGCTGGTGGACTGGTTCTGGTTCTTCCCTCTCCAGACTCCTCCAGGTTCCCACTTCTCACAACAAACCGTGGTTTTGTGCAGCTCGGTTCCGGCTGCAGCTCTATTTCTGTTGCATCTCCAAAAGCAGGCTTAGTGTCACTTTACAGAGGATTTGTCAAATGTTTTCTTGACCTGCTGCAGCTTTTAAACTGTTGACCTCACTTAGCAGAATTTAAAAAAAAAAGATTTGAATGAGTTGCAGTTTATTTTTATATATTTTTTAAACCTTTAACCAGCACCATTCCCTGTTATTTTCCCATATTAACTGCGCTGATCATTCCAGCTCATATTTCTGATTGTGCGGCTGACTTTTGATGATTTGAACATGCATGGATTCACACTCACCTTATCAGAGGCAGCAGTGATGCCCAGTGCACTGGAAGAGCTACTGACTGTGACAATAGCACACCCAAATGAGTACCAATAGATGTGTTGAGAGACCTAAGGGGGAACCATGTTTTCTTTTCTTTTGCGTGGATGTATATTATTTACATCCATGTGGGCATTCCTCTCAGCCCGTCTGGTTGATTTGATCCCAGACATGTGTCATCTAAATTCAGCCATCACTCCGGCCGACCCCCCCCCTCGGGGATAATCAGGAATTATTTCACTGTGACTCACCATATCCTTACTATACATGTTTTCTTTACTTCAGTGCATTTCCCCCTTCGTGCAACAAAACAAGCCTTTTCCACAGACGTCCCCGGCTCTGACAGCAGCAGAGTGGCGAGACGGTCAACAAAACGAAGCCAAAGAGGCACTCGAGTGTCTGATATGTTGTAGAAGCAGCGAGCTCACAGGCAGTGACAAGCTCTGGGGTTTTTTTTTTTTTTTGGCCCCTTCAATTAACTGTATGCTCGCTAAAAGGTCAGTGGCTTTGTTATTTAAGAAACCGTGTGTGAAAAACTGTCCCTAATGCACAGGAACTGGCCCGCAGACATGGAGATCAGAGAAGAAACACCTTCGCCGTCACGTGGATTCTGTCCCCTCGCTGCTCTTTCATTAACATACCCCCACAATGTCCACCACTCGGCCGTGTCTAAACGCTGAAGGAGCAACCAAATATTTCTCCCGTTTACCTTTTCGCAGTCGCTCCACATCTTTCCAAGAATCCGCCTCCTCACAGGCAGGTTGTGCAGCGAGACCCCCTTTTGGTTTTAACCAAACTTGACGTCCAGTCGTATGACTTGAACGTCACTGTGAGGACAATTGAGCGTGCATGTCCATCCTTGTGAGTTTAACAGGAAGAAGAAAAAAGCCAGTGCTTTCCTCTTGACCAGATTTAGGAAACGCCTAATCCTTGTTATGTACACAGAGCCGGTCAGACGAACCGATGTGACGTACAGAAGAGAGAGGACAGTGGAAGTGATGCTGGATGCTGTACGCCTCCGGGCCGGTCGGTCCAGCTGCATTTAGCAGTTTAACAGTCGCTACAGCTGGATGAGGATTTAGGACGCACTGATCGATTGAAAGGTGCCTTTTCAGGTTATTGTAAAGATTTAAATGACAAAATAAGAATAAATGGTTTCCAGCATTTTTTTAACCTTTTCTGTGCCTATATGTGATCACTCAGTCCAGGGTTTGGGACTTTATATGTTAAGGAAATTAGGAAATACTTGTAATTAGTGCAAATAAAGTGCAGGCATGTGCATCGAAGCTACTTAGAATCTGGGCGATGAAGGGGAACCTGTGAGATTTGCTAGAAATCTGTAAGAAAGAAAGAAAGATAGCCGACATATTTATTCTGGATTTAAACTATGTGCACATTTTGTTTTTTAGGTTTAAGTTTGTTCAGATTGTTTTCAATAAATACGAAGTGGTTTTTGGACGCAGACAGGTTCAGATGATTATTGATGATTTTCAATATAGATTTTTTTCTATATTTTGACTGTATTTTTCATATTCAAACCGTCATATGTGTGTAACCTGCTAGATTTTTGCTGCTTATGCTTTTGTAGAAACAAATCCGTAATCCCGATGAGACTTTTTTACGGTTTAATAAATAAAAATATAAAGATTGGAGAAGTGAAGATTACAGGGCTGCAAGCAGCTTAGCAGCACACAGCAGAGGGACAATCGATTTGTTGAACAACAGGGGAAAAAAAAACAACCAAATACTGGTTATATGCAGCTTCTGTGAGAATCTCCTGAGTTTCTGTGTCTCATGTGAAATTGAATATCTTTGCCTTGGTTGGAGGAATGATGCCAGTGAGGTTGTATGAACTTGTTTTTGTCATTTTATAGACGATTAAAACAGCAGACTAATTACTGATGGAAGCACTTCCTCGTCAACGAAACCTTAACCGGACAAATTCAGGTTAACAAAATGTGACTTCTGTCTGAAGAATGCTGTCGTGTATAATTTATCTAAGATCTTAAATTTTCGTCCGGAAGAAGGAGAACAGATGAGCGCCGTCTCAGGAGGAGGGAATTAGTGTTTTCTGTGGTCCGTCATAATGGGAAAACACGTTTCCTTGTGATAAATATAGGTTGACAAAGAATGGCTGTTTAAAACATTTAAATTATAGTTCTTGGAGAAAGCCCGGGAGATCAGGAAATAATTAAAGACTTCTTTCTTGTGCTATTCAGGCGACGTTTTATTCTTTTTTAATTCGCCGTTAAATATTTATGACTTAAAAGTATAACTGTGTTACCAGAAGATTCCCGTTATTTTTTGTTAATAATGCACTACGGCTGGTTTGTTCAGTGTTTTATTTCTCTGCAAGCAGCTGCTGTTCGTTGATTATTGCATATTGATGTGCCTGAAGGGCTAATTCACACGCTTTAGTGGTTTAACGTGCACATTTATAATTCACTGTTTGGACAGACTGGATCTGGTCAAGCAAACCACACATTAGCGCGTTAACCCTTTTAATGGTGAAAACAGTGAGTGAACTCGCATTGGCTCGGTCCAGCGTCCCCAGTGAGTCACTCTGGCCCATTAGCAGAAGGCTGGCCGTGGCCCTGAGTCATGAACTCCAAATGAATCCGGCGCCGAACGGGCATGTTTCTTCACAGAGGCGAAGACGTTTGCTAACCTTTGAATATGCGTGGGACTCTGGAGCTCATTAAAAACTGAGCTGGTGGTGCCCGGGCACGGGGGCCGGGGATGAGAACGCTTCGGAGCGCGTTAGGCCAGATTACAGGGTGATGTGAAATGGCAGGGAGGCGAGGTAGAAGAAACAGCTGGGTCCGACCGCCACGCTGTTCCTGGAACATGGGGCCACAGACAATGTGGGGACGTCAGAGCCTTTCATGTTCAGGTTGAAGGTTCCTGTCAGGGCAGGGCAGGCCCCAACACGTCCCACTCCCTCCGAGCCGCCCTCTCATCCACTTCCTCGCCGTGTATACTACTGTTACGGCATTAGAGTCTAATACCTTTTAAAATTCACATTTGTCGTCGGTGCAGCTTTGGACAGTCCAGTGACGACTTCCTGCCGAAGCAACAAATGAGCTCAAACCTGCAGTTCAGTCGCAACGTACTCACTCAGGCTGTCTTTCATGTTAAAGCTGCTTGTTGTTGTGTAGGTAGAAGCCTTAAAGCTGTAATAATTGTACTTTTGTCACACTTGAACGCGTGTAAATCACGCTTGAAGTACAAACACAACCAGCCCACCATGAAGGCTCAACTCAGCAGATCCAAAGAATCGCAGCATTCTTGTGAGTCAGGTGGGGTGTAATTTGTGAACCGTGTGTGTTGTAAAGCTCTGGGGGGAATGTGTGTGTGTGTGTGTGTCTCACTTCCACACACTCTGCTCCACTTGTAAAGAACAACGGCGATGATAATTAGACTGGCTTTTATATCTAAATGTCACATGTTGGCTATATTAAGACCACGATGCTTGACTTGACTCGCTCCGTGTTTTTTCGTAGCCGCTGCTGCTGCTACTGTACTTTCTGTTCCAACTCTCTCTCTCTCAGTTTTAATAATTGTGATGTCAGCTGCAAAAGACAGCGAACGCCACACTTGAACACACACACTGTCTCTAATTCAGTTTTTTTTCTCTTTTTATATATTCGTGTCTTTGATGTCTCCCTTACAGCTTCCTTCTATGGCGACGGCTTTGTGCAGCTCAAGGCAACGGAGTCGTCCGACCATAACGTGCTCCGCATTCGTTTCCGGACCTCCAGCACCAACGGCCTGCTGTTTCTCGCCGCCGGTCAGACGAGCTACTTGCTACTAGAGCTCCATGCTGGTCGCCTGCAGGTGGGTACATGCATGGCCCCAGCAGAGGAGCATATGTGTTCAAGCATATATGGCCACGCATGCGGGTGTACGCGCATATATATATATACACATGCACATGAAACATCTTTGTGCTCGACCACATGCGCGCACGCACACATCTGACGCAGCGACGCTGACCACCGTAAGCTATGGCTCCATCTCCGATGACAGTGTCAGTCTCCCAACACAGTTAATACAAGCAGACAAGCCTGCATGGTGTGAGCTGAGCACCAACTCCACACGAGTCACTTCTTGTCACAGCAGGAACTAAGAGGTCGCTGCTTTCGCTGCATTTGGACGAGGGAGTGATGGTTGAGGGGTTGTTCATTCTAACCAAATGACTGAGATCCCAGAGCAGCACTGCCTCAAACAACAGTTTCATACTTAGAAACTATTAATTAATCAGGGTGCTACATCCCCTTTTTGTGCTGTTGTCACTCAATGCAATTCAATATATGTGCTAACTAATGATTTGTTTTTTGTATTAACTGTTTTTTTCAAATAGTTATGCCGTGAAATGTCAAATCTTGTGACAATTTCTCGGAGCTCAAAGGGCAAAAAATCTTTAGATATCTTCATTTGTCTGACCAGCAGTGCAAAACCAAATTATTAGATCCAGTTTAGAGTGACATGAAACAGAATACAGACGCAAATCCTCACATTTGAGATGCAAGAATAACGACTATTGAGTGGATCAACTAATCATTCCATCACTAATGTATATAACGTTGTCAGCTCTAGTATAAGGAAGGAGTTCTTTGTGTTGCCGGTTTGTCACTCACACTGCAAAATGATTTTAACATCGTTAGTTGCTGTAATCGTGTCATGTCAGTCACAAGATATTCTAAAAATCATCCTTCAAAACTCAAAGTGTAGCTAATTGGATGAACCATAACTTGAAACAGACTTTTTTAATTACTTGAAATATTTATGTGGTTCTAAATCTAACAGAAAGAACCATACTGTGTGCTACCTACCTCTCTAAATTTGTTTAACATTTACTGACAAAATACTGCGTCCTCGTCTCGGGCACTTTTTGGACATTTCCAACGGGCTTCTTTCTAAAACTGGCTGCACTATTTTAAACTTGCAGCTCGACTCCTGCTGCGAGGATTTGAGAGTTCCTACACGAGTGCTCCTAAAGCATCCTGTAAGCAGCTCTGCCAGGCCGAATCAGCATACAGAATGGACACACGTACTGTCGGAAGCCTTTTTTTTTTAATATGCGGACGCGTACGTGGGAAACACAGGAAGTCCTGAGATATGCATTATAGCTTTTGTGCTTCACGCTCGAGAAATCCTTGTGACTAAGCTTGTTTTTGTGTTGGACTTTCGCTGCCGGGAATGAATCACACTGACAACTGTGTTGCGTTGCTGTACTTCACCGAGTGCAGGGAGTGAGCTGCACGTCCCCGCTCTGTAAACTGGCACTGGTCACCATTTTAACGTTTTTTGTTTCTTATTCGCTCGCACAAGTTTTCCTCTGGCTCGGGGTGTCATTGCATGTGAGTCAGACATGAGCGTCGCTCCCTGGAGACCCCTGCATGGATAGCGAGCAGCTCAACGGCAAGCCTTGACAAGCGCGTCATGTAAATGCGGCATTAGTTTGAGATGGTGACATGATGCTATGAGGACGTAGCTGAAGGCAAGGAGAAAAGAGTGCTCTTCCTTTCTTAAATTGCAGACAAAGCTCGCTGTGATAACAACACGGTGACATCATGGCAAATAGCAGCTAAATCCGGTGTTTCTCCTCCCAGGTGCCCTAGTTTCTACAGTAGATCATTTAAATCGCACTAGTCACAGGTTATACGAGTAATTATTTATCTTAAACAATTAATATTGTTTAAAAAATGATGTTATTTTTGATAATATGCTGGACAATCTGTATGATAATTGTTATGAGATGTCACCACCAACGTCTTGGAGCTTCACCAAGTCAGTAGAGCTCAACCTTTGGGGACAACGAATGACTGTGTCTGTAAAATATCACAGTATTCCAACCAATACTTCCTCTAATGCTGATCTGAAATGCAAACTGGTATTTCTGCCGATGTCACACCATGCTTTCACCTTCTGTAATGCAGCACATTTTGTAATCCGGTTGTTTTATTTCCTCTCTTAGCTGAAGCTGGACCTCGGATCAGGGGAGCAGATGTTAGAATCGGAGCGGGGCACCCAGCTCAACGATCTGGCCTGGCACTCTGTTGAGGTCCGCCACGACCAACTCAATATCATCCTGACCGTAGACAAGAACTCTCACACGACTGTGAAGATGCCAGGCTCCCATCACAATCTCAACGTCGTAGATGGTTTCTATGTTGGAGGCTCGGGGGGTTTGGACAGACTTTACCTGCCCAGGAACCCGATCGGCTTCCGAGGCTGCATGGAGGAAGTGGTCTTTAACGAACATGACTTGCTTTCATCACTGAGGCCGTACACCGGATTCAAAAATGTCCATGAAGTGTCTTTAGGCTGCAGCCCCCAGTTCTTTGCCACTGAGGAGGACCCTATCAGCTTCTTCAGCTCCAGGGCTTACATTTCTCTTCCAACCTGGAACGCCCAGCAGGAGGCTGTGTTTGAATGTGTTGTGCACACTTCAGCTAAGGAGGGAATTATCCTCTACAATTCAGCCAGAGAGGGGGATTTTGTGGCTCTGGAGATTCAGGAGGGTTTGCCAGTGGCCATTGTTGGGAAAGGTGGAGCCAAAACCGAGCTGCGTTCGCTCACATTCATCAATGACAGGAAATGGCACTCCATCAAAATGCACTTCAGTTCCAAAAGCCTTGAGCTGGCTGTCGACGGAGAGACGGTGAAAAGCAGCATCAGTTCTCGTTCAAAGGGTCTTCAGCTTAAAGGTTATCTGTTTGTTGGAGGTATTGATGACGGTACCAGATCAGAAGCCAGAAAAGTGGGACTCACATCTGTGTCTGGAAAGCGTGTCAGAGGAGGTTCCTTCAAAGGATGTGTGAAGAACATTGAAGTCAACAGTGTCAAGATGGGCCTCTCTAATGCTGTCGTCACCAAAGATATCTCAGTTGGTTGTGAGCCAGAGAAAGAACCAGAACCTTCAACTACTGTGAGTCCAACAAGTGCTCTGGGATCTCTTTTTCACTTAGTTACGCCAACGCCATCGCTGTACATGTCCACGCTTGCGAGGGGTTTAGACAGAAGGTACGGCTCAAATTTTGTGCAGCTTAAAAACCTCGTAGTCCCGGAGGGTGGTCGATCGTCTCTTGACGCCAAACACATCAAGGTTCTGTTGGACTTCAAGAAGCTCGGCATTCGACAGTCTCAAATCATGTTCCGGATTCGTGAGCAACCAGTTCGAGGTCAGATAAGACTCGATGTCGATCAAGACCAAGAGGAGAACACCTTCAGCATGTTGGACCTTTGGCACGGGCGAGTCATGTACATCCACGGAGGCTCCGAGGAACCAGACGACTTCTTCATGTTTTCCATTTTTTCTAGTAGTAGAAAGCAAGTCCCAGATTATCTAAATGGTGACAAACTGTACCGTTACAATATTTCTGTGACACCCACCAACGATGCACCTGAACTGAGCCTCCCTGAAGGAAATCTCTTTGTCCTGTTGGAGAACTCAAAGAAACGCCTCACCACAGAAGTTCTGAAGGCCACAGACATTGACAGCACCCACGCCGACCTCGTCTTCTCTGTGCTTGGGAACCTGAATGCTGACGCAGGGTACCTGGAGATCGAAAGCAACCCTGGCAAGGCAGTGACCTCATTCTCATACGCTGATTTGGAGGAACTGAAGGTGTACTACGTTCACACAGGGGTTAGAAACTCAAGGATAGTTCTCAGAGTTAGCGATGGGGAGAAGGTCAGTAACACTGTGGTTCTAAGGGTTATGGCTGTGGCGCTGGAGTACAAGATTGCCAACAACACAGGCCTCGAGATCATTCAAGGAGAGGCGGCTATAATTGGTTCAAAGCAGCTGGCCGTGCAGACCAATGCTGTGAAACAAGTCATAGACATCCGGTATGATATCATTGAACCCCCACAGTATGGAGAACTCCAGAGACTTCACTCAAGTGGTGAATGGAGGCACACTGACTCGTTCTCACAAAGGCTTCTAGAAAAAGAGCGCCTGAGGTATGTTAGCACCTTTCAAGACATCCAGACCACCAATGCCACCGATTACTTTAAGTGCAAAGTTAATGTTGCTGCAAGGGCAACCACGGAAATACTCTTCCCAATCACCGTGAAGTGGGTGAAGTACCACATGGTGAGGAATAATATGATAGACTTGGATAAAGTTAGAAAAGTGACGCTGAACTCGGAGTCTCTCTTTGCCACAGCTGAAGGTGTGGCTCTCGCAGAGGAGGACCTTTATTTCCGTGTTCTTACCACGCCAAAGAAAGGAAAACTCCTGCTGGACACCACCGTCTTAAAGAAGAACTCGACCTTTAGCCAAAAAGACGTAACAGATTTAAGAGTACGCTATGAGCTAGTTGACAGACCGTATGAAGATACAACCGACAGGTTCAAATTTCAGCTGGTTTCCAAACATGCTCAGTCCCAAAATTACGATTTCCAGTTTTCCATTAAAGCCGACGTCAACAGCGTGTTTATAAGAAACGAAGGCCTCTCGCTTCAGGAGGGAGAAAGTAAACTTATCATGAAAGATGAGCTGTTTGCAGAGACTCTGAGTACAAAGGAGATGTTCTACACGGTCATAAGCAGCCCCAGACACGGAAAACTAGCCCGCATCAGTCAGTCCAACTCCAACGCTAGCTATGTCAACATCTTAACCTTCAGTAATAAGGACATATTAGAGGAACGCATCATGTACATCCATGATGACAGTGAAACCACTCAAGACGAGTTCACTTTCATAGCCTCCACCAACCAGGGGTTCAAGTCTTCCATCACAGAAGATGAAATCGGCTCCAAAGAAGGAATATTCAACATATCTATTCAGCTAATCAACGACCAGAAACCAGTGCGTGTTATTGACAAAGTTTTCCACGTCGTTAGAGATGGACAGAAGCTGCTCACGATTGAAGATCTGCGCTATCACGATGCCGACTCTGACTTTGACGACGGCCAGTTGGTTTACACTCGACGTGGGATCCCGATGGGAGACCTGGTGCTGGTCAATGACACCACGCATCGCCTGTTCCAGTTTCGACAGAAGGATCTGGAAGAAAAGCGAGTGTTATTTATTCACAAAGGCGTGAGCACTGGCAGGTTTGTGCTCTTTGTTTCAGATGGAAAACATTTCGTGTCAAGCCTGTTGGACATCAGTGCGCACGACCCTTTTCTGAGGATTGGAAATAACACCGGCCTGTTGGTTCAGAAGGGACAATCGGTGACCTTTTCCGCCAGCAATTTTAGTGTCGTGTCAAATTTGGACATTAGAGATGACCAGGAGGTTGTCTTCAAGTTGGACGAGGCGCCCAAGTACGGAGGTCTTTATCTCAACGAAGCGAAGGTGAAGACATTCACGCAGCGCGACTTAAAGAACGGACTGATCTCCTATCGGCACAACGACAGCAAGCATCTGGCAGACCATTTCAACCTAACAGTGAGAGCTAAAAGTCTTCAGCTTACGGGGAGAATCAATGTGAAGGTTTACCTGGAAAGCCATCAGAGGCCTCCCATCGTGCAGCATCGCAGCACTTTGCTGGTGGAAGAGGGAAAACCAGCGAAGATTGATGAAACCAAACTGGAGGTGAGTGTTTCATAACGAGTGATCTTCATGCAACTTTTATTTTGTTTTAAATAACATCAAGGCAAGCATCAAATAGCTCGGTGATGTTATTCAGGTTTCTCTTCCTTTATTTCTGAAACGCCTGGAGTGATGATTCTTTGAAAACACTTCAGGTTAAGACTTGCTAACCTGAAATGAGCATGAATTATTAAAATAGTTTTGATCATAGATGGGGAGAACTATGTTTGGCAGACGATCTGAATTATAGAAAATCACCATAAATTATCTTTTTATCCTCTGTCATGCCTTTAACACGGCTGAAGGAGTGAGAACTGGATACTGAGCAGTGTTTGTTTTTCCCAATAATGCCAAGTTACGTTTGGAATTAAATGGAAGATAAACCTCAGTGACACATGTGACATTTCAGATTTTACCACAGATTTTTTTCCCCGATTGTTGCAGGTCACTCACGAGGACAACCTGCCATCTGAGATTGTGTTCACAGTCAAGGTAGCCCCGTCTCATGGCTTTCTCCGGCGTTTCGTCGAAGAGGAGCAGCGCTACGTCGGAACCAAACAGTCCCCTGTCAACACGTTCAGCCAGGACGAGGTAAACAGCGGGAACATCCAGTACGTGCAGGTGGAGCCCGGCAGAGTCAACGACACCTTCGTTCTCGACGCCACCAACGGGGTCACTGACGTCAGCGGCATAAGGATGTCTGTCGACATCATCCCACGATTCATCCCACTTCAGGTCTCCAACTTCACGCTGAACGAAGGCGCCTCCAAGGCACTGACTCAGGATGTGCTCAGAGTCACCAACAGACACTTCTCTGGAATCAACTTCTTCTATAGTTTGACTAAACCTCCGCAGCACGGTCACATCGAGCACTCTCGACATCCCGGCGTGCACATCACTACTTTCACCAGGAAGCAGGTGAGATTTCTTACAGACGCTTATATTTGTCAGAGAAAAACAGCGAGAAACTAGCAGCTGGTTGCACGGATAGATCGTTTGATGGAGTGTGGCAGGGATGTTTTTCATTTTCAGAAGTCAAGACATGTTTCTTTCATGGTGTTTGGATTCATAATAAGGATTGAAATGACCCATTAATCCATCCATGGATTAATAATTTGACTGATTAATATACTAGTAATTGCTGCTTTGATCCGAGTCTACAGGCATGTTTACAAATTTTGTAACCCAACAGTCATCCTTAATTAAATTAACACATTAAAAGAAGAAAATAAATAGCATTATCTTGGTTTGACGTCACCCTACCCCAGTTTTGCTAATTTGTCGAGTTGTAATTAATCTCTAAAACATGTCACGTATTTTGTTTTTGTCATTATACGTATGCCATGTCATGGAATAATAGATTATAGTGATTCAAGTTTCATAATCTATTATAGCGTTGTGTGCTGCTGTGTTTTTAAACACTGTTCAATAACACTTTCTGTGATCCTTCCCCAGGTGGAGCATGAATTCATTTACTACGTTCACGACAGCAGCGAAACTTTAGCCGACAATTTCAGCGTGGTGGCCAACGACACGAGCCTGAGGAAGCACAGCGCCGCTCAGACGGTGCACATCCAGGTTACAGCTGTCAACGACGAGCCTCCTGTTATTACAGCCAACAGGGTCCTCAGGGTGAGTTTGCTCTGCTGCTCTATATTTAAATTCTGGACACTTTTTTTTTTTTTAAACTAGCAGGTCTGGCACCGTCGCTAACTGTCAGACAATTTTCATGTGGGCAGTGTTGCAAGATGCCATGGCTGGCTGGCTGTTTGCATGAGGGAAACTATGTTTGCTATGCGGAGGAGGGTCCAGCGGGGGCCTGGCAGCACACAACACACACTGACATACATTTGAAGGGGCCTCGGACTTGTGAGAAAGTCTGTTAAAGTCTGCTAAGGTGTTAAATCCTCTAGGGTGCTTTCACACTTGGTGCTTCCTGTCATACTTGAGTACGTTTCTTTTCGGGGAGATTTGTTTTTTTGGGGCTTTTCACCTTTATTTGATGGGACAGTGTAGAGAGACAGGAAAAGTGGGAGAGAGAGCAAAGGAGTGACAAAAAGTCTAGCCGGCGAGGGATGGAAGCAGGGATCAGGCGTTCATGTGATATGAGCCCTAACCACTCGACAGGTCGCCCCGTACTCATCGGAGCCCGAAGTCTGGAACGTTTAATGAGTGTGAACGCTGTGTACCGTACCTGGGCACGGTACGCCAATCTCAATCTGTCAGGTCTGAACGGTAGCCGTAAATACAAAAAGGAAAACGCTCCAGTCTGGTTATGTCAACATCACCTGACTGTTGTCAATCACTTTCTCAACCCTAAAAAAGTAATTTTCTGCATCACTTTCTCCTCTGATATGTGCACATCTCAACATTCACTACCTTGGATGACAGGTGAGTTTTGTAAACAGGCCAGAGTGTGTTGAGCGTTCGTTCTTCTTGTCTGTGCACCAAAAATAACAAAATAGTCGTTCCTAAAGTTAGCTAAAGGAACAGTATGAGTTGGATGTAGCGCACATCTTTACTGTGCATACAAGTGTCATGTTAATGGTGGTATAAGCATACTCGGATGTGGGACATTAATGTGACGTGAGCGCCAGCCAGCGGGCCGGTTGGGAGGAGGCGCCATCGTGCTCGGCCGTGGCACAGATTAATCGTACCTAATCTGGCAGCGCCGGAAGATGGAGCTGCTATTCTGTGTAGTTTGAGTTAACTGGAGATGATTTCTAAGGCTTCTTATGAATACCGAGGTTTAAATCGAATAGAAAATAAGCCCCAGGCGTTATACAGCCAATATGTCAAGTGACATATTTGCCAAAAATGGATTTAATCCATTCCAGGGCATCCGCGTGTTGAGTGGCATGATGCCATGGCCTGGAAATAGCAAACGCTGCGACCACATGGCCTCAGTTCACTTTGCTCTACTTTACATCTCCTCTCACTGTTTTCTTATCCAGAAAATTCCTCTGGTTCTTCACCACTTCCTGCTTACATACATTATACGCTCATAAATCTGTCGTGTTGTCTCGTGTGTCCGTGTGCTGAGCGGTGCTGACTTGAGCTGCTCCGTAATACAAGTACGACTCTGTCAGCGAGAGTTGGGAGAGGTCCAGCTGGAAAGAGTGGTCGAAATATAGGTCTCTGTTGTCTGAGCTGCTAAACTCCAGATGCCTTAAATTCCTCTGGGGCCTTGCAGAAGAGCAACTTCTGAAATTTACTGCACCACAGAACGTTTTGAAGCCAATGAAAGAAGCAGTTCTAATGACAAAATGCAAAGAAATATTTTTGAAAGGCATCTGTTTGGGATTGTCGGGGATCATAACTCACAAACTGAGCCACGTATAAGGAGGCCGGATCTTTTTAATCCGTATGCGATCATTTGTCTTTATATCTTGTTTCACTAGACGTTAATGGAGGGTCAGGATTTTATGCAGAAACTGGTTTCTTAGTGGCCACAAGGTGGCTCTCTGCTGCCTCTCATTATACTTCTGATTAACAGGTCTTCTTACAATCACAGAGTTATGTATTCACACCGGAAATTTATCAGAGAGACAGATTTGAAGCTCTCTAATCAATATTTTAAAAAGACTTCTTGTTTTTTGTACATGATGTCTGAGCTTGGCTGCCCCAGAAATGGAGGAGTCTGTCTTAAAAACACACACACAGAGAAAAAAAACCTGGTAATTGTTTGTTAGAAGAATGAAACAAACCAAAGAAACATCGTTCAACTGAAACCAGATGAAACAAGTGGTGTTTAGCTGGATTTTAGATTAATTGAGCTGTCACTTAAAGCTCTAAACAACATCCTTTTTTTTTAATCTGATGTGAGTTAAGGGAGCATGTTTAGGATCAACACTGATGATAATTAGGAGATTTTTGTATTAAAATATCGTATTAAAACTGTTGAGGTTTGTGAGTTATGATTCTCAGGAAAAGAGGATCAAAGATGCGAGTGTGCTGAAGTTTGTTTTGTTTCGACTCGACCGTCATCTCAATCAGTAAATCTGCACCCTGATGAGCAGCAGATGCCCCGTCGTGTTTGAGGAATTGATCTGGACTCCGAGAGGCTCTTAGAGCAAATTGATCTCATGTGTCTTTTCTTTGAATCTGGTGAGTCACCCCGATGCTGTTCACCAGTCCCGCTGTGACTTCCTGTTTTGTGTACGGGGGGGCTTGTTGAAGGTAAAGTCGTTTCCCAGCGGTGGAACACACTCGCTCATGTGGCGAGGGTTCCTGTCTGGGGAGATGTTCTGCTGCGGGGGCTAATGTGAAGTGCGTGGTGTCCCATGACGCTCGTGGTGGATGTGAGGTTTGCGAGCGCTGACTGAAACAGAACCACAGGATCCTGTTCCAGTAACTAACAGTCAGAGGCAAGTGTGATGCCAGCTCACTGAGAGTTACACCAGAGCTTTTAATGTTATCATTTGACATCCATTTGGATTCTTTATCACACAATTTGTAGTGTTTTTATGAGGTAAAGCCCACCCTCAGATGCTATGGATGTGGATTGTACACCACATGTATTTAAACTGCTTGTGAATGTCCACATAAAGTCATACAGATGATAAAAAAATCAACATACATGTGGTGAATCAGCAGATTGTCTTGTGCCATGAAGTTGCAAAGCATGACCACATTTCTTTGCGTCATCAGCTGCTTTGAATTCTCACGCACAGATTGTTCTATTCTTAGTTTTTTTGCCAGGTAAACATTGCTTTTTGTTGACTTTTGGGGGAAAAAAGTGTTAATATTGGATAGATCTTGCTGTTTTTTCTAACAGATTTGTACCTTTTACTGATGTAGGTTTGCATCTAAGGGGCTTGATGTGTATGAGTTCAGATGTGCAACATGTGCCTGCAGGTGTTTTGTCACGTACGTACTGTTTAGGGGGCTTTTGGCAGTTTTTTTTTTTTGGTTTTGCACCCACTTTTTTTTATCACCCTGCAGTGTTTGCTTCTGCAGCCTGTGATCACTGACGTTTCTCACATTAACCAACGTTCACAGAGCAGCAGTGGGAAGTTAAACATGCAACTTGCTGGTTTCCAAACGTGCGAACACAGAGGCGACATTGTGATCACACCCTGTCTGTAAAATGCTGCCTATCTTATGGTTTTATTGCACTTCAGTGTACCATACGACAAACCTGTTCTAACTGGGAATGTGCACTCCTGATATGCGTTTTGAACTCCATTGTCTTCAACCAGAGTGGATTTAGTGACCAAACCTTACATCAGTTAATATCTTTATTTCAGTAATGGGATTATATGTGCTGTAAAAGTCATATATTTGTCTGTCTTAGCGTCTCTCAGCTCAGTCGTTGCTGTTCGGTTTCATTCTCACCACTCTGGACAGCGTTTTTAGCAACCAGCTAGTGGAGGATTTAGTAGCTAACTGCTCTATGGAGACCATCACAGAGTAAATATTACATCCACATTCACTTTGTGGCCAGAAATGGGACGCCAGTGTTGTTTTTATATTCTAATTTTGCCTTTGTGGCCTGAATGTGTGACACTTTTTTGCTGATGTTTCTGTAGTGACTTTATAAATTAAGTATATGTCAGGGATTACTAAAAGTTCAAACCACTTTATTTTTATTTTTAGCAAGATTGTACTGTTTCGTAGCATTTACTGTGACAGACAATGTGTTTAAAAATATGTTTTATCATATTTATGCTTTCAGAAGCACTCACATAATACAGCACATCTTTATTTAACTGTACAGTCGTGACTCGATAATCCGACCCTTAACAATCCTAAACCTGCTATGCGACAGGTTTTTAGGAAAACCCAACAGAACCCATAAAAACAGCCTTAACATAGCGACAGCCTTGGATTGTGACTCCGACATGACATTTAATGTCACCAATCAGGATGACGGCGTATTATCTGACTGAACAATCCCACAGATTGGCTACGTTCACACTGCAGGACTTGATGCTCAATGAGGATTTCTTTGTGACTTCCTTCACGTTTCCAGTTCAATGCGACTTGTATGTGATCTGCTGTGTGAACTTCATACGAGCCAAAAGTGTCCCGCATGCGCAGAAGAGGACACGACGACGTCACACGCAGCGAGCGTGCTCAGTGTTTATGGAAGTAAACATGGATGGTAACGGTGGAGCGTATCTGCCACTCCCCCGCCGCCACCGATGGAGGAAACAGAAGTGTGAGCGCTAACTAAACTAGCATCAGCAGCCAAGTACTGCCTGTGTGTTCTGGACACTTCCACCCCGTCAGAGCGCTGCCCCGGGGTGGAAGTGTCCCCCGACCGCACCGGTCAAAGGCGTGAAATCCAGCGATGCGTAGTGTTCTAACGACACACTAGTTACTATAACAACTATGAACAATAATTAACAACTAATGAGCCTTCCAGCATCAAGCCCTCCTCGTATCTCGACTTGGTCTTGACGATCCGACATAGAAGAAGGTTTTACATTTAGTGTCGGATCATCGAGTCACGACTGTGTATACGTTATAACAGCAACAATCAATCAGTGTTAGTGGTGGTTATTGGCCTTTATCACATCCCAGGAGACAGCTCTGTGACAGTAGGAAGAGCAGAGGTGGTAGTAAAAAAGTGAATGATAGCTTTATTTCCTTTTAGTTGCTCCAGTGTCTGGGTCCTGGTATTGTGCCTCGCCGTCACACAGTTGTTAATATCATTAGTAACACCTGTGCTCTTCCTGCTGCGACAAGTCAAAGTGTGAACGAGGTCAGACGTTCTCATATTTTTCTGTCACGGCATCACATTAATTACTGCGGAGCGACAACCTGTCCGAGGGACAATGGCCTGTTGTGTAATAGTTCCTCTGGCCTGGAAGATAGAAGCTCATCGGGTATTGTCAAATGTCTGCACAGTTCAGTTGCTTTGTGTTCTGTGTGTCAATGAGCTCCTCTGTTCCTTCGCGTTAGCTTGAAGCTTTGGAATTTAATTGGAAGCCGGACTTTTGTGCTTCACCGACACTCTGCAGCGCATCGGCCTGTGTTTGGAGCCTACGAGGATATATTTAGTCCTGAGATGTCCTTGATTTGTGCAATGCTCAAGTGCCATTGCTCCTTAGGTTGTTATTGCCTTACCATCTGTACGTGCCCGAGTTGGAGGTTATTGTAACAGCAGTTCTGCTTCGATGGGTAAATTACTGTACAGTGGAGAGAAAAGACAGAAAAAGGGAGAAAAACATATGACATAGCCTCGGAGCTGGACTCACACCCCCAGCGTCCGTTGTCTGTGATGATGAATGACAAGGACACATCAGCCGTGTCTCCAAGTCTTTTGTTTGCCTCGCTTTCCTTTCATTTGTATTGTTCTTTGCAGAAAGTAGACGTTGCTCAGCGGCTATGCAATTAATGAAGAAATAAACCAGACGTAATCTTGTTGTGCCTCACAGAATTTAACATTTTTTCTAGACGACTGAAATCATTCAAAAACTGGCATCCACACACAGAAAGTGGCTTAATTTTAGCAAGTCCTTCACCCCAGTTTAGAACCATAAATGTCAGCGTTTCCTTCAATATGTCAGAGTTGGATTCAGCTGTCAGATGCTGTCAGCGTCAACATCGCGAGCGAGCAACAGTTTGTGGAGTTCCACATTTTAAGGTAGATTAGAGATGACAACCGTTGTTTCCCTGTCCGTCACGCGCGCAGGTTTGGGTTTCCTCGGTGACGGAGATCCGGCAGGAGGATCTGAGAGCACGAGACCTGGACTCGCCCCCGGAGGAGCTGCTCTTCATGGTGACCCCGCCCAGTAACGGACACCTGGCGCTGAAGAGCGCCCCCATGAAGGCGGTGCTCAACTTCACCCAGGCCCACATCGACCAGGGCCAGCTGCTGTTTGTGCACAAAGGTAACGTCGCTGTCATGTCACATGCAATCATTGTGATTTCATTTGTTGTTCAGAATCAGTTTTATTGCAAAGTAGGTTTTTCACATCCTCGTGCAAACGCTGTCATGCAGAACAGTTTTAAAGAAGAATCAATGTGAATAAGGAGCGCATCCTGGGGATTATAAAAGAGATGTTTCAAGTCTGCAGGATTGTGCAAATTATTCACCTGAGACTGTGCAAGGTTGCACCGTATGTAGTGTAAACAAATTCAGATGTGCAAAGGAAAATAAAAAGCCTGTATAAAGAGCTGTGCATTAATGTAGCACAGATGTCTATAGGATGGGAGAGAGGAAGTATCAGTGCAGGTCTTTTATTTAGCATTTACACAAACAGCAGGAAAATGGCAAACATTCCTTCTTGTTATGGACTGGAAATGAAACAGAAATGCGAAAACTTTAATGTATTTATTCTCAAAGATTCATCCGTTTCTGTGAAGAACTTTGCTGAAGATTTCTGCAAAACACGTCATAATAATTCAGTTGTGTGAGCTTTTATTGTTGTGTTATTATCCCGTCGTCCAAATGAATCGTCCCAAACTGTAATTTAAAACTAACAAAAGAAATGTTTTGTTTCATATTTGTGGAGTTTCGTCCTATCTATTGATTAAAAACAGAGCAATGTTTTATAAGTAGCCCAATCCCAAATGTAATCTGGAAGTCATTTCTCTGAATGTGATCAGCATCTTTTTCATTCTCTCTCTCGAAGCTGTCGCCTTGTTTTTGTTGTTCCCTTTTCGTCCACTGGAAGATGCTGTTGGCAGCGACTGGAGCTTCGACTTCACTCTGTGATCCACAGTCCTCAGCAGGAATAATATTGTGCAACTTTCTTCCTTAGCTGTTAGATTACGGCTGATACTGGAGCAAACTGGGCCGAGCTTTAGATTGGAGGTGATGATACTTAACAGTCTGAGAAAGGACGTGAACTGGGTCAGTCGACACATGACGGTGACTCAGATCGGCTTTCTGCTGACTCCTCTGATTCTTATCTACTGAAGGGAAGGTTGTAATAATAATGTTCAAGGACCTCCACCCTGTACGTTGAAGAATGTCTGTTTTTACATTCAGCATAAACACACCTACAGTAATGTGTTGAGTATTTCCATATTGGGCCCAGCTTTTCTTCATGAATGCTGATCAGGAGCTTTTTTTATGTGTAGTTTGCAGAAACCAGATGCAGCTCATTTGTTTCAGCCAAGAACAAAGCAGAAATATTTATCAGTAGGCAGAACTTGACCCTAAAAACCTCTTAATAGTCTGATCTTTTAATTATTTTTTGCTTTGTTTTGTGCCATCTCCAGGTGCCATGTCTGGAGGATTCAACTTCCAAGTCAACGACGGCGTGAACTTCACCCCCAGACAGATCTTCAGCATCACTGCCAAAGCCTTAGTTCTCAGTCTGGAGAAAAACCGTCCCCTCAAGGTGTTTCCAGGTGAGTCTTATGAGGCTACGTTTTTAATTATCGTCAACTAAAGTCTTGAAAAATTCAAAAGCAGCAATATGTTGGTTCCCTCCTGTGTGGTGCTCAGCTGAAAAGGGGATAAATATCTTGTGTATTTTTAATATAAGTGCTGGTATTCGTGGGAATGAAGACACACTGCAGCAGCTCACTGATGTATTTTTTATAGTTTTTGACAACAATGGAGCTCTGTGGCCGAGAGAGAGAGAAATAAGCTGCGTCAGGCTTTGATCGCACAGACAGTGATGGTAGCAGAGAAGTAAGCAGAATATAGACTGATGCTAACGGTGATATTAGCCTCTCACCTGACCTAAACCTGCACTTCTATCAGGGTGTGGCGTTATCTCCTCTTACCTGTGGTTGTCTCGTCTACTAATATGAGATCAGAGGAATTTGGGGAGTATAATTTGTTCTTCGTAGGCGATGAAACGACGCAGCTGCTTCCTGAAAGAACTGAAACGCCCTATTTCTGTCCGTCCCTGTCATTGGCTCATGCAGGCCCTTTCTCGCACTATTATTAACCAGAAGCTAAATATTAATTTCCCCTTTATTTTGTTTCTCATCAGTTGAAAATTGAAGTGTGTTAATGTGTACATGTGCGTTTTGTCATGTGTAACCTGCTGACTGCTGCTCGTCTGCCCACAGTGACTCTGGTTAAATATTTCAGTGCCTTTTTTTAACAGTCAGGTTATTATTTACCCACATACCAGACGGGTGAATCAGCTTCTGCCATGCCTTAATGTTTCTGATATTTCCTTCAATATTCAGGAGCTAAAAATAGGCCGACTGGATTTCGTCTGTCTGCAAACACATTTCAAGGTTTCCTGTGATTTTCAGCGGTCTGTTGTGTGAATTTAGAGGGAATGGATATTGTGAGGGCAGCGAACAGCCAACTGGCACGCTCTGCTGAGCTTCCCAGCCACAGGGTGAGTGGGTACTTGAAAAGCTGTGCCACTGTCTGTCTGTCTGAGGCAGCCCTGTTTGTGCTTTGTGCCAGCCGGGGCAGAGAGGGAGAGAGAGAGAGGGGCGGGATGGGAGCTTTAAACTGACAATGAGGGGTTTTGATGGGGGGTGAGGGGCAACATGAAACGCTTTCACACTGCGGAGGGAAGATAAATGTTTTTCCTCTTTCCTCACAAACACCTCAAACGTCTGGGTGCTTTCTGCAAAACGCTGCAAAGACTCGTTGCTAAATGGTTTCAAATGCGTCAGTAAAAAAAAACAACACACAGGCAGTTAGTCATTGTGGTGCTGCCTGCAGATACCACACAGCGTTTCCGACTGTGATTCTTAGCATCAGGAAGGAAATTCACTTTACTTTCTTCTTGAATTGATTTTATTTGCCTTGAATCGCTTTGGATGAATTCTTGTTGCTGCCTTGAATTCGCTTGGTTTGACTAAAGTAGAAGAGCGCTCCAGATCCACACCCAAATCAAACGGGTTCTTCCTGTGCTCGTGCTCCATCGCTTTATTGATTTTCATGATATTCACCTGATTAGTTTTTAGAAAATCTTGCTGGCGAACAGCCTCGACTTTTGTGGAGGAATCATTGTAAGCATAGTGGGGTACTGCTAGAGTAGGAATACATGGGAAACAACATGCTAGAAGATCTCTGTTTTGGTCAACATAAAACCGAGCCTGCAAGGTGGCTCAGTGGTTAGCATCATTGCCTCACAGCTAAAAGGTCGCCGGTTTGTGCCCCGGTGAGGACACCCGGGATCTTTCTGCGTGGACTCTCCATGTTCTGACTATGACGTGTTCTTTACATGACATTATTTCTAACATTAAATACTTTGTCATGTGTAGTTAGTCTGTTTCCTAATGGACAGGCCTTTTAATTCCAAAAAGATTAGCAGCTGCACTTTAGCAATAATGTGAGCTAAATGCTAACATGCTAATGTTTAGCTGATGGAATATTTTATGATATGAAAATATACAATAGTTTCCCAATTAGCACTGAAGACAAAGACACTGAGCTGAATATCGTCAGTTTATAGAGTTTTTTAAATGTAAATGGTTCTAAGTGAGGGCTGCAAGGTGGCTCGGTGGTTAGCATTGTTGCCTCACAGCTAGGAGGTCGCCGGTTTGCGTCCCGGTGAGGACACCCGGGATCTTCCTGCGTGGAGTCTCCATGTTCTCCCCGTGCAGCGTGGGTTCTCTCCGGGTTCTCCGGCTTCCTCCCACAGTCCAGAAACATGCTGAGGTTAATTGGTGATTGTAAATTGTCCGTAGGTGTGAATGTGAGTGTGCTTGGTTGTCTGTCTCTAAGTGTAGCCCTGTGATAGACTGGTTACCTGTCCAGGTGAAGCTGCCTTCACCCTGAGTCAGCTGGGATAGACTCCAGCCCCCCATGTGAGGATTAAGGTGTATAGATGATGGATGGATGTTCAAAACCTCAAAAGGCAAATGTGTTAGAAGCTGGTCTGACCACATTCAAAGGCAGAGTGAAAAACCTAAATCATTGTAAAGGGGGAAGTCGTTAAAATATGTAGATAATAGTACAAGATGTTCACAGTGCTGCGTTCAGATATAACCACGAAATAGCCGTCGATGCAGAGCAGAAATATCTGACAGTAAAACAAATCCCGTCTCGTACAGGTCTAGTTTGAGATATTTTCATTGTGAAAACATGAGAACTCCCGTCTCTTCCTCATCCTCTGAGCAGGAAATTTCCCCTGAGAGACGAGGATGGTGAGAGCGCTGCTTACAAGTGATGAATGAATTTCATTGTGCTTCAGCCCCTATTTCCTCCTATCATTGGCCTCCATCATATATCAGAAGTCTTTTTATAGAATCCTCACAATGTTCACAGCAGAGCCACGAAAATCTCTGTAATTCATCTGTAGAAGAAAAGCAGCTCTCCGTAGTCAGCCAGTCATCATCCTCTGTAGATCTTTCTTTTCTTTTTTTTTTACATTTTCCCCAAGTGGAAGATTTGCGCCTGCAAGGAGCTGATCCACTTTTAATTTCTTGTTTGGATTTTACGTAACACCCCGCACTGCAGTTGGACAGTGCTGTAAAAAGTCTCTGATGTCTGCAGCGCAGCTTTAATTTGACACATCAAAGGACTCTCGTTGGTCTGTTCCAGACCTTGTTTTGCATAATTTGGAGTCAAAAAAGATGTGAAACACTTCCAGAGGGGAAAACTCGCAGCATCGGATGCAGCCACACAAAAGTTTTAACAGTGTGGTCACAGCTAACGTGAATACCAGATGAAAACAAAAGACTTTTCTGTTGACACATACAGTTTAACGATCAGCCGGGAGCTATTTTATCAGTCATTCTCACTTTCACATCTTTTTCCAGGTTCTTCCAGACCACTCACCAACGAGGATCTACAGGCGGTGACCAACGACATCAGCAACACCTCAAACCGCATCATTACGTTCGGCGTGATCCGGCATCCCAAGCTGGGGCGTCTGGTGGCGAGGCAGCCCGACAATTCAACAGTCGACGTCTCCACTTTCACACAAGATATGGTGAGTGGAGCGCTGGAGGTCATGTCAACACTTGTCTTTCATTTCAGATAAGTACATTTCTAAAATAGAACACAAGGGATGTGGACCAGACAGAGATCAAACACGAGGGTTCCTCCTCCGTTCATGTGGAAAGTTGCCAGATTTCCACTGTATGAATAATTCATGTTCTGCATCCTCATTCAGGAAATTGACTTTGTGCTTCTTTAGCTGGACGGAACATGGTGCGCTTTTATGTAATCAATTATTTCTGATGGATTGCGATCTGACACAGGCGACGCTGTGATGCTCGTACTCTATTTACTGCTGAGCAAAGCAGATTTAAATGAATAATTAAATCTCATGCATGCTGTCGTAATGGCTCTGGGAGTGATAGAGAATTATTGAGGCCGCTGAACTGTTTATACAGTTGATTAAGTTCACTTTAGGAATGCCTGATCTGAATCTTGTGCAAATTTGTCAGCGTAAACTTGTGTTTGATTGTGGTTTTACTGAGGATCTGGTTTTTTTTTTGTGTACTACAGGTGGACAGAAAAGAGGTTTTGTACGTTCAAACTCCCATCGAGTCAGTGGGATGGGAAGCCATGGACTCCATGACCTTCTCTGTAACATCACCGCCTGCTTCTCTGGACGGTCAGACCTTCAAAATAGACATCTCATACGAGAATACTGGACCTGAACACGACACGGTCCTGCTGGCGAACACAGGTAGGACCACGGTTCTGCAGTCAAACTGTTTGAGGCTGTGCTGAGACACACTGGAGCTGAATGTTAACACAAACATGCTCACAAACAGTGTGGTGAAGACCCCCTACGATGAAAACAAACGTTTTTATGTTGTTTACATGTCCGTATGGTGTTTTTTATGTGCTAGGAGAAACATGATGAGCAGAATAAACAGTCAGTGCGATGGCTAACCAGTTCTATTGTGAGTGGTTTTATGGTGGTTAAGCAGAGCTGTAGGTGAGCTGGTGTGCTGCACCACGTAGGGAGAGGTGAATGGACGAAGATGGGGAACTTCATAGATCCACAGACTACAGTGTGGAGTTACATCTAAACCATTTTGATTATATTCATGTAAAAAAACCCCACTTGTAAATATGTAATTTGATGCACAGATTCGTTTTTAGGGATTTAGCCTGATGTTTTTGTCAGTCGCATATGTTTACTACTGTTGTCCTCGGTGATTAATCGGATGTTTGCTCGGTGATAGGTGCTGACGTGACAGAAGGGGAGAGTGTCATCATTGACGAGTCCAAGCTCGACGCCTCCAACCTGATGTCCAAGCTGCCGACGCCCCAGCGGAGCTCCCACGAGGTCTGGTTTCAGGTGACGTCTCTGCCTCAGCACGGTGTCATTGTGGTGGGTGAGAGAAACCTCACCAAGGAGAAACCCAACTTCTCCCAGTTCATCGTCAACAAATACGGTATCACCTACAAACACGACAACTCGGAGACGACTCAGGATTCTTTTGAATTCAGTGCGTGGCTAAATGCTAAGGGCAAAACCGCGCAGCGTCCTCAAGACGACGACGACGTTGTTGTGGAGCGTTTTAGCATCACAATCACGCCTGTGAATGATCAACCACCTTTACTGAAAACCAAAGCTCCAAGTCTGAAGGTTGTACAAGGGGATACTGTAGCCCTCAAGCCTGAGAATCTCAAAGTGGAAGACTTGGACAATCCTCCTCAGGATATTAAGTACTCCGTGATTAGCAAGCCAAGTAATGGCTACCTCGCACTTGAAGGGAGTCTGAATGAGTCGATAGTGGCCTTCACCCAAGCCCAAATCAACAACAGAAGCGTCTATTTCATCCACGATGGAAGCTCTGTTTCAGGGGTGTTCTACTTCAGTGTCACAGATGGCCACCACAAACCAATATACAAACTCTTTAACCTAGAAGTGACTGAAATTCTCATTTCTCTGGTCAACTACACTGGATTGACCCTGCAGCAAGGCAAGACTTCAGCATCTCTAAACCAGGACAACCTTGCTGCTGAGACCAATGGGAAGAATGTCACGATTCACTACCAGATCACAAGGCCTCCAAACTTTGGCAAACTTCTAAAAGACAACCAAGAGGTTACAGAATTCCAACAGGAAGATCTACAGAGTGGAAGACTGTCCTACCACATGGTCTCCCTCTCCTCTGCAGAAGACAGCTTTGAGTTCACCGCCTTTACTTCAGAAGCGAGTTTGAGTGGCCAGGTGCTAAATATAACCGTGAAACCTTTGATCCAGGTTGGCAAAGATTTCAGGATTCCCAACGGAATTACTGTCAAGCTCAACACTAGCTTTCTTAATGCCTCTGAACTGGCAACGATAAGCGACAGCGACCCTGTCTTTGAAGTGATATCTCATCCTAAGTACGGGAAAGTGGTTCACACGAAACCTAAAGTGTCCAGAAAAGCTGTACCGGCTGAGTCCTTCACCTTTCAGGAGGTCATGCAGGGGAAGGTGGCCTTGGAGCTGAACGCCAACATGACTGGAGTTCAAGAGCTTAATGACTCATTAGCGTTTGCACTAAAAGCCGATAACGTCCAACCTGCTAAAGGGGAATTCCACTTTGCTGTCGTGCCATATGATTCAGCGCTTTTTCCAACCACAAAGAGTCCCGTTCCAACCACATCACCTGTTCCTCAGACACCAGTCAAGAATACTAGAAATGGAACCGCTTCACCGGCGCCGTCCACAGTTTTCCACTCCCCCCAGCAGCCAAGCAAAAACCAGCAAAAGTTCAAGGGACGTAACCGCTGGGGAAACTCCAACAGGACTAGCATTCTGGGTACGACTCTTGGCAAACCACCTCAGACTGAGGAGTTCCCCTTCAGGAACACACCAGTTCGTGTAGAGTCCTATCCTCAAAAAACCTCCAATCCGCTGCTGGTCATCCTGCCGCTGCTGGCCCTGCTGCTGCTTGTAATCATCTTTGTGGTCCTGGTTGTCTTCCTTCGCCACCACAGGCAAAGGAAGCAGAGCACTGCTGCACCACAGAGCCCTCTTCCCACTGAACTTCCAGGCAGTCAGTCTTACCAGGGCCAAACCCAGAGGAGCACAACAGTCCCCACCGTGACGGTCACTCCTCTGAACCCCACCTGCCCAGGTAGCCCCGTTTTCGATCGGCTACTGACACCAACTCAAGGCTCCGCTTACAACACCATCGATTCAAACATTCTCCTGAGTTCTTGGAGTAATGGTTCCCCTGCGGCATCTTCCCAAATTATTGGTACGGCCACTCCCACCCTGCAGAAGAACCAGTACTGGGTATGATCATCCACAAACCGACGTGTCGCTGGATGTGATGGGGAACACTGTTTAATAAGGGATTGAAAAGCGTTTGTGTACTTAAAGGAGGCTGTTGTAGGTACTAATCAATATTGTCCTGTTTGAGCTCAGCCTCTTGGCCTCTTTGGGTTTGTTGTTTATGGGACATTACTGTATTTTTACCTCTCTTACGTTCACAAGACTTTTTGTGAATTTCCAGCAGCAACAGGCGGCAATCACATAACCAGACAACTAGTTATGCTAATATTGGCTAAACTAGAACTAAAAAGTCACCATATGGTCTGAAACACAGCTCCAGCATGCTAATAACATTTATCTGTTGGATGTGTCATTTTATACAGACATAATACTGAATATCAGAACAGCCCTCAGAGGCCAGAACGACTCCTACAGCTTTAAGGATGAACAAAGAAATAAAAAAAAGCACTCTTGCCAAAAGTCCTTCGCTAATAAGAATCAACTTCTGAGTTTTCTTTGAGTTGCACAATCCGTTCAAACCTCGGTTTACAATGTAGGTTGAGTTGGTAGGACAGAACTCGAGCATTTACAACGTGATCATCATCGTAGTGAATTATTATAAACTATGTTTGTGCCTAATATGTGTTTAATCACTATCGTTACCTGGTCCTCATGCATGTTGAAGTTCCTCCCACTAGAGCTTGTGATCATCAGGGTGGAAGACGATGATGATGCTAATACCAGCTTGAAACTGTGAATTACTGCGACTGGCACACAGATGTATTATCCAACCATTTCAATTGATTGTGCAGATTTTCTATTGCTTTTATGTATGATATATTATTATAGAATAGCGACTTTTTGTAAACTCAGGTATTTTGTTAATAGTCATGTTACCTTCACTGGGGGTTGCATGTGTCGTCAGTCGCTGAATATGATCAAGTTCTGTGCTGCAGATGCTCCCCAGCATGGCTGTATGTTGGACCGGGACGCTGACGTGGCAGGTTTTGTACCACTACATGGTTTTAAGTGTCAACACTGGTTCCCGTACAGTTTTATTTTATTGTACACAGTATTTTTATATTTTAAAGAAGCATGTTATGAAAAAAAACAAAACAAATCAAGGCACTGATCTATAATATTAAGCAGCTCTACACTGTATTCCTTCAACCTCAGTAAATGTCATTCTGTAATTCATTCATTTAAAGATGAACAAATAAGAGGAAACACACGCTTTTAGGAGCATTGGGCTGCTAGCTGTAAATCACTTATTAATCTGTGATTCTTAGAGTATTTTTTTTAAATCTTTAAAACTACTGACAGGTCTTTCCAGGACAAACGAGAAACTGACTGAAATGAGTGCTGGTATTTATGATAATAATTATTTATCTCTGGTTAGCCTGTTGAACCTGTCCACAGATTACTGACATTATCTCCTTTAGTTTGACACTGTAATGATATATCTGCTGTAAACGAACGCTACGGTTCAGTCGTGGGAGACGAGGACGCCGCCGTAAACTCATGAGATCATTTTGTACTGAAGAGAATTGTCTATCCTGCGTATTCTAGTCTCATCTGAATGATGTAACTTAGTATGTAACAGAAGTGTCATATTTATTTATACCATATTTTTAATAAACCACTTTAAAATGTTTTTTGCGAGCGATTACTTCCTGCTAACGCGCCGAGGCTAAATCGTGCCATCTGTTGTGTCTCATCAGTCGACACTCAGCACCACATAACAACACACTTTTAAACATTCCTGCAACGCTCTGTACAACGTGTATCTGTACGACTTATTATCCGCCCATTTCTCCTCTAAAAAGGATTTATTAGCATCCAGATTGAACCCTATTTCTTCCACCTAAATGAGCTTTTGGCAGTTTTCTCTATCGCTGTAATTCAAACTGTCCTGCTGTCCGCTGGCCTCCTCTTTAAACTCAAAAGACGCATTACAGCAAAGGACCAATTAGAAAAAAAAAAACGTAAATTATCATCATCACTTCTCCCAGTTTCCTGCAATTTCTTTAATTCTGGTTTTCTTGCATCCAGAAACAATCGAATCTGATTCCTACGTGATCTGCAGCAAGATGTTTTATCAGGAAATGTGCTGTTTCCAAATGAATGTCGGTGAACACCCACAAGGTAAACATGTAATGTGATTTGGGAGAAGCACAAGGATCCTTTTCTGCTGCTGTGAGTCGGTCCACATGGCCGATGGTATCACGCGAAGAAAGCAATTACTTGTTCTCCTGACCCAATCACACACACACACACATACCAGGGACATTACAGGTGTTAATTAAAGATTACAGTGACCTTCAGGAATGCAGCAGTTTCACCCCAGAAACGCACCAGACTGCGGACACAACCGGTGCCGTTCTGCTGGATGTTGACGAGCTAATAGAAAGCGGTGAGCAATGGCATCACATGTGAGCTGCAAACTTAGCACGACGATGTCAAGCCACAGAGTCAACTAGCTGGGACTTCACTGGGATACTGTCGTTAACCGCAGCGTTGTCATTTAGTGAAGGGAAATTCCAACGCTGCTCAGGACGAGCATCATGTGATTGTTCAGGCAGAACTCGGTACAGAATCCTGAACGAGCTCTAGTGAACTTCTTCACCACCAAACAGCATTAACTGCATCTGATTTGTGATCTTTGCTGCTTGCGTGGTTAGACGGAGCTCATGCGTTGAGCTGAACACACGGAGCCGGATTTACAAGTTCAGAGTCAGACATCGTAAACAAAAGCTCGACCGAAGGCATCGTTAAAATGAACTGAGTCACAAATCAATGCTGCGCACTAATCCTGCAGAGAATGCACCGTGTACAGATTGTCGTACAGTCGTAGCGGTCGCTGTACACAAACGTCGTTCCTAATCCTTTTACACTAACAAGAAATGATGTGTGATTCCAATGAAACCGCAAATCAAGCCGTTCAAAGATGTTTCCCATTGATTTAATGCTTCTTTCTTCTTTGGTATTTCTAGAGCCCTTCCTCTATTGTTTACATTTTCTGTCAGCTGTGAGCTACTCTTCTCTTAAACATCAGTTGTTCTCCACTGTATGCATTCTCGTATCTATTTCGTCGCCTTTCCAGGGTGAACTCACTAAACACCTACTTTATTTTTTATTTTTTGTCGTACAGTTTTCAGCCACAGGCGCAGCTGTCAAGTTAATTATATTGCCGGTGAACACAGTAAATAATCCAGTAAACACATGACTTACAGTTTTCAGCGCTGTTGGAATTCTGCCGCGGGGGCCGGCGTCATTTTAGATTTGAAAGTAGATAATTACAAGTAAAAGGAAAAACACTTTGCATGTTTTTTTTTTTTAACTGTTGCATTGCAAGAAAGACAAAACGTCAGATCTTGGGCCACCAGATAAGCTTCAGCGCATCTTGGATTTGATTCTCAGAGTGTCTGGAATTCCACCGGAGGGATGGAACATGAGTTTTCCAAAAGATCTTCCCTGATTAGGTGTCTTAATGGTGGCAGCAGAGAGCACTTTCTAACACAGGGGTGTCCAATCCTGGTCCTCGAGGGCCACAGTCCTGCATGTTTTAGATCAGGGGTGTCCAATCCTGGTCCTCGAGGGCCACAGTCCTGCATGTTTTAGATGTTTCCCTCTTCCATCACACCTGATTCAAATGATCAGCTCATCATCAAGCTCTGCAGAAGCCTGATGATGATCCTGGTCATTTGGATTGTGGCCCTCGAGGACCAGGATTGCCCGCCCCTGTTCTAACGCATCAGTCCAGAATCTCTCACAGGTGTTGAGTTGTGTTGAGATCTGGTGATCGTGAAGGCCGTAGCTCGTGAATGAAGTTGTTGGTGCCAAAGTGGGACAAACCATATTTATTAGAGAAAAATGGGGTAAAAATTTTGTGTTGCTAAAAAAAAACCATTGTGGTTGTTGGAGTCAGGAGTCATTATGTCCATCCAAAGATGTTTCAACACTGTCCAGAGACAGAAACAGCTGCTTTGTGATTTAATTTTTCCTTTCTTTTTGCTGAGTGCCCAATCAGGCCGTACCACATTTTCTATTTTTTGAGAAAAACACTTATTCAAGGTTTGTCTTGCTAAACAGCATTTAAGAGTTTAGATCATCAGGAACTAGAGATACGTTTGAGTGGGTAGAAACAGATGCTCGGCGGTGGTTCAATAAGTTTTTATGTTACTTTGCCAGTTGAGTTTTCACGGGGCTTGAGGTCATGCTGTCCGCCATCTTGGATCGCATGTACAACTACCTGTGCCTGTGATTTAGCAGTCAGTGGTTCCTGTGGCTTGGCCCAGTTTGCCACTACATTTTCATGCCAAAACCATCATGGGCCACAAGTCTCATTGTGACATTACCAGTGGGTTGTTGGTTTGGATCACTTTGCCACCAACTAGTCGACCATAAACACTTACCCAAAAAAAAACCCATAAAACTCAACTTTGGATTTTTTGTGGTTTGGCCCAGTTTGGTTCCTCAAACGTCTCCTCCAACATCACCAAGTCTCTGGATAGCATCTCTGTTGGGGTCAAGGGTTCAGGTTTTTCTTTTAACTAGTCCCCCTTTTGTAGCCAATAGGAGCCCTGGTTTTATTTTGTAGTAATAAAGTCGACCTACTTTATTAATAACGACATTCAAAACACGACGCCTGAGCCGATCTGAGCTCCGTCGTCAGGTTTAAACAGAATCGGATTAACAGGTCTGTGTCGAGCCTCAGTGTCCCGAAACATTTAAGAATAAAAAGAAAAAACTGTCACGATGCTGTTTAAGCTGAGCTCCAGCACTGGAAGGAGGCACTGAGGAGGTTTAAAAAACACAAGCTATTCAATAGACATTAGGAGAAGGATTTAGTCAAAGTCAGGCAGGATTTAGGAGACTTAGATAACTCACATAAACAAACACAGACAGACAGACTTCTTGTCCTTTCCTGTACTTCCCCAGTTTGAATCCAAACCCAGTTTCAACCTCAGTCCCACTCTGTCAAACCAACATTGTGTTTTTTTTGTGGCAAAAACCACTTCGCTTGAGTTCTTCCACCATGACAAGGATGGAAGTCATATCACACACACACACACTCTGAGTGAGACCACCCACAGCTGTTAGACATGCTGAGATTGGCTGTTTGTGTTTAGGAATGCTAATGATCTGAGAGCCTGAACCAAGATTATCCAGAATCTGCCGACCAGCCAGCTCGCTCTCTGTTTACTGCCTGAAATCATTTGCAGAGATGCGTGCATGTTTGTTTTGGATGTCATGTCAAGATTTACGGTCTTTTGTGGAACATAACGGGCTAAAAATAAAAAAAAAAGGAGAAGACGCAGAGGCAAAAGTGACGCAGATTAGATATGAAGCCGTCGGTTAAGTGGTTGAATTTTGGTTCTGTTGATCCGAGGATTATGTGATTCAGTAGATTTCAGGGAAGCGTAGCGTCAACTATCTGCTGAGGAAATTTCATGGCAGTTTATCCAGTAATCAGGAAGGTTCTGTCCAGACCAAAGTGGTGGAGAGACGAACTGACACAGTGAAATCTCACAGGGTTGAGGAAAGAAAGAACAAGCTTGATGTGCCACATTACTTCCTATTGCATATCATCCAGGAATCTGAATGCAGCATCATTATTTTTAATTTTATATTGGATCCAGCTGATTCAGAGTAATATTACTACATATTTTACGAAGGCACCAGTGACTCATACGAAGACGTTTTCAGGCTTCGGCACCTGAAATGGAAGATGCTGCTCATACAACATCTGCGGCCTGTTTTTCACCCGTCACAGCTTGATGGGAACTTGATAAAGAGAAAGTCACTGTTGGAAAAAAGCTCATAATAAATCTTGCCTAGAGTTTGCCAGAAGGCATGTGAGAGCCTCTGAAGTCAACTGGAGGAAGATTCTTTGGTCTGATGAGATAAAAGTTGAGCTTTTTTGGCCATCAGACAAGATGCTATGTTTGTCAGACACCAAGCACATCGTCCCCACCGTGAAGCACGGCGGTGGCATCATCATGATGCGGGGATGTTGCTTAGCAGAAGGCTTGTAAAACTATGAATGCAGCAAAGTGTCGGGAAGTCCTGGAGGACAACCTAAAGCAGTCTGCAAAAGAATTACAACTTGGGAGAAGATTTGTTTTTCAGCAACGTAATGACTCCAAGCAAACAGCCAAAGCTTCACAGAGATGGTTTAAAGACAACGAGGTGAACGTTGCGGAGCAGCCGAATCAAAGCACAGACCTCAATCCAACTGAGAATTTGTAGTTAGGTTTGAAAAAGGGCTGTTTACTCACAATGCCTGTGTAACCTCACAGAGCTGGAGCAGTTTTGCAAAGAAGAATGAGGGAAAATAGTCCAGATGTGCAAGACTGATGAGACCTATCCAGACTTAATGCTGTCTTACAGAGGGTGAATATTATTTTCCTCATTTTTTATTTTTGTGTAGAACTCTGCTTTCACTTAGTCTTTTTTTTAAATAAATTCTTGTCAAAAAATCCAAATGAAATAATCCTGATTCAGCGCTGAGAAGCAATAAATGAGGATGATGTCCATGAATGGTGATCATACATCCAGGCAGGCGTCACACTGCACGCATTCACACCAGTGAATAGTTACTGCATTGAACAAAAGTCAAATTATAGTCTCAAAAAGAGGAAACCAGTGTCG